GAGACAGAGGAATGCTGCTGCCCCGGGCTGGCTCGGACAGGTGGCTTGTATTAAGGAGCGGAGCGCGGGCGGGGGCGCGCTAGGCTCGCTCCGCGGCGCCGGCAAGAAACAGCTTTTTCAGAAGGCGGCGCAGCGCAGCGCAGCGCCGCCCTTCCCGCTGCTGCACGGGGCAGCGCCCCCCGTCCCTGGGGGCGGTGGGAGAGGTGGCAGAGCTGCTTGGGGAAGAGGGGTAAGGTCTGCGAATCCGGCTCCAGGTCTATTTGGGGGGTTGTACGGCCCCGGCCCCAACAGCCTCTAGCAACTTGCACTTCGAGCATCAGGTCCCCGCCCTGCCCCAGGGCGCCCTAAGCAGTTGAAAGTATGCGGGGCCCACACCCCTCTGCATGCGCCAAGCCTCTGAGCTCAGCCCAAAATCATGGGCGCAGCAAACATGCGGCCAGCTCGGGTTAAGCCGGCACTCAAGTCCCTGCCTAAGCAATACGAAGAGCACTTTAGCCTACTAGGAGGCCAAGCCGGTCAGCTTCTAGGCCGAGGCACATTACTGGGCTGCACCCTCAGCCAGAAGTGGGGGAGACCAAGCACTAGGAAGGAGGGAAACAGGAGGAGCTTTTGCAGAGGGCAGGAGCAGCTGCTGCTTCTCCACTGCAGGGAAACTTGCAGTGCAGCCCAGGCCCTCTGGCAAAGCGCACCAATCCAACAAGGATTCAGGCACTGGGGCTTAGCCTAGCTAGGAAGTGGGAGATCAAGACCCAGACCGCGTGAAGAAGAGTTTGTCTTGTTACCCAGCTTAAATACTCTGCAGCAGGCATTCCTAGGTGTCAGGTGCCTTCCGAGTCTCTCCAGCCAGCAGCAAAGGCATTGCTGGGGGTGGAAGGGCTCACACTTGCCTCCCTACCGAGATCAGTGCCCAGAGGGCCACTTTAAGGATTGCTCCAGCAGCTGGTAAGAGGGGAGAGGCCAGGCTGGCAGGAAGTGCTGATCATATGCCAGAGTTGACTGAAGAGGAAGAAGCAGTGACATTAGACACAAGGGAGGGCAGCGTGTAATAAAGTGCCCAGTACAAGGGGGCCTGGGCACTGCATAATGCAAACACCTTACAAACAAGGCTGTTCCCTGCCATGCCCAGAGAGACTCCTACAGCATCATTCAGCCCAGGTGGAGCTGAAACTAAGCAGGACAGTACATATGCACCGCCAGCCCCAAGCATCAGGTTGAGACAGGCTGACAGCACAGCTAGCTAGGAAGTCTGGCCCCACCAGCAGGGCAGGTGAGAACAGAAGAGCATCCTCTTGGAATGTGATGTTTGATGCATGAGGCTCTGAGGAAGGGAAAGGCTCAGGGACTAGTAGAGGAGCTGGACTGTTTTAGCTACTTACCAAGGAGAAGGGAGAATCACAGAACCTAAGAACTGGAAGGGACCTCAAGAGGTCATCAAGTCCAGGCCCCTGCCCTCACGGCAGGACCAAGCACCCTCTAGAAAAGCCATATTGTCCAACATGCTAGCCACTAGCTGCATGTAGCTCACAAAGTTTACATTTTCAGAATAATGTGGCTAGTTCACTGTAGCAGTAGCTACTGTAGTGGTTTCTGTTTCAGAACTGGCTGGACACCACAGATCTAGATCACCCCTAATGTTCATCTGACCTGCTCTTAAATATCAGCAATGACAGATTCCACAACCTCCCTAGAAGGGAAAGCTGGCTAACATTTGGAATAAGCAGCTATGAATATTGGCTGGTCCCAGTCGAAGTGGCTTCCAATCTTACAGAGCTGATAGGAAAAGGCCACTTATTTTTCATAGGAAGCTTTGAAAGGTTTCCTTCCCCCCTCCACCCAAAAAAAACCAGTTTACTTGACTTTTTGCTTCTGCTGCTGCCTCTACTTTTTCCTTTTTGCTACTGAGAGAGGAGGAAAAAACCCAGAAATTGACACCACCCTTTTGTTTATGGTGGTGGTGAAACATTTTGAAAGGAACAAACATTTTCCATGAAAGTTTTCATTTAAGAAAAAGGCCATTTGGGATTAAAACCATTTGGAGGATTTGTTTTGTCCGGCTCTGCCCTATTTTAATAAGATTGCTAGGTTCTGCGCAAGCATACAAGATTCCTCAGAGCTCCCTCATTTCTACCTGCTCACGCACAGTACCATCCTGCCTTCTCTGCTGGTTAAAAAATGATGTTTGGTCTAAGGGCTCAGACCCCTTCCCCCTCCTCCCACACTGGAAGCATAGCTGACATTTTGATCAAGAGCATGGGGAATGAGGATGAGATGTGATCAGCGCCAGGGAGCCGATAACATTTATCACCAGCTCATTTGGAGACAATGAATTCAGACAGCTGCTGCCTTCACTGCCAGTGAGAATGAGGCAAGGGCAGGACTGTGCTGGAGAACTGCAGGGCTTTCTGCAGCATGGACTTTACTACTGCTTGTGAATCCCTAGACAGCCAAGGCAGAGTGGACTAGTCTGATCTCCTGCATCGCACAGGTCCGGACTCCGCCCAGATTCCTGCCATGGAGGGTGGTGTTATGTCAACCAGTCCCTGATCCAAACCAAATTCAGATTCAGGCTGACCCAGGGGAAGAGACCCCAGACATCCTAGCTCCTGCATGGCTACACCAGTCTGACCTGAGCACAGCACAGCAGTTGGATGTTCTCAGGCTAACTCAGGGCCCCACATCTAGCTGCTCTGATGTGTCAACTCTGCAGTGAAGACAGACCCATAGAGGCAAGCACCTACATGCTGGCCCCTTGGGAGCTATGGAGTTAGAGGCAGATCTTGCCTGTGTGCCTGGACTCCCTTTCCCCAGCACTTTACAGCAAAGTGACAAAGTCTAGTACCTGTTTCCTGGAGCTTGCTGTCCGTTAGATATAGTTAGGACCCTACTCAATTCAGTCCGTTTTTGGTCAATTGCAGTCAGGCTTTTAAACTCCAAATGTCACGATTTCAGCTATTTCATCTGAAATGTCATGGTGCTGTAATTGTGGGGGTGCTGACCCAAAAGAACCGGGTGGAGGGGTTACAAGGTTATTGCAGGGGGGAGTTGCAGTACTGCTACCCTTACTTCTGTGCTGCTGCTGGCAGCAGTGCTGCCTTCTGAGCTGGGCAGCTAGAGAGGTGGCTGCTGGCAGGGAGCAGGGGATGGTATTGCCACTGCCTTCAGAGGTGGGCCAGCTTGGTCAGCTGCCACCACTCACCAGGCACCCCCTCCCCCCCGTTTGAAGAACACTGGCTTTCTCCCCCATGAAATCTGCATCAGATTGTGTAAGAGCACACCAGAGCAGATGGCATGGTGAGATCATGTTTCATAGTCTGGTGAGTTTATCACCATGACTTCAATAGGACCCTAATTATGGCTCCTGACCTGCTGCTGTCCCCACAGCCCTGGTTCTGGGACTAATGAGCAATCCTAGCTCCTGAAGTGACATCCTGCTTCCTCCACTACCACTGAATTGACCTAAAAAAAGAGGAGACGCTGCACTTTCCAGAGCTGCAGTCTCAGATGCTGGGAATTCTACAGGATTCCCAGGAGACCACAGGTACTGTGTAAGAGAAGCAAACCAGTGTGTGGAGCTCATGTTAATGACAGACAACAGCTAAGTTCTGGCAATCCAGATTCTGATTGGCATGCCCCTCACCATGGTATCTGACCACCTCAAGACCTACAGTTACAGGTTTCTGCCTTCTCAAGTGATAGGAGTAAATACTTAGATGTAGGAATGTGGAGCATGCCTCCTGGGGAAGCTACAGCTTGCTCTTATGAAAGACGGCTCCTCCACTCCCAAGATGCCCCCCTTGGCTGGCAGGACTTGTTCTGGCATGAGATAGCTCTAGGGATGGGGTTTTGCAGAGCCAGAAATGGCCTCCAGGTGATAAAAGCCTGCATGGGGATTGGCACTAACACCATCCAGGCTGCAAGAAAAATTCTGCTCTTATGCAACATTGAGGTTTTGACATTTGTTTCTGTTCCTCCATGTAAGACAAACAAAACCTTTTAAAATGCTGTTGCAGAACAGTTGTGAAAAAGGCGGGTTTGGGTCTGAAAAGCTCAGGTTTCCACGGTTCCGGTCTCTAGTCAGATTTGACGAGTGAGCTTTGGATCTCAGACACTTGATAAAGCACTGGCTTCAACAAAGCTCTCGCGGTGAAATATTTCAGCATCGTTAGAGATTAAATGGCTGTTCCCTGAAAGTATCCTGGCTGGCTTTCCTTTGAAAGCTCTCCTTGTGATCTAGATAGGTTGGCAAGCACATTTGGGGGCCAGTGATATTAGTCAATACTCCTGGTGGTCCATCATCACTCAGTTTTATTAGTGCCAAATCCCTTTAGGGATTCACACACATGCCTGGCCCTAGAGGAAATACTTCTCATTTCCCCGGTTTTTAAAAGGATTTTAATTGAAGCAAGAGGGTCAATTCAGCCAACAGTGTGACATCAGGCAGACCCACATTGCTTCACAAAAGCTCCAGGAATTGGCACACGGTGCTTGTTGAAAACCATGTGTTTGCTCAAAGCCTGTAGCTCCAAATTTTGTTATTTACACTACCACAGATGCTCAGGTTCAAATGATCTGGGCTCACGCAGAGGAGCTCAGAAAGCCAACTTGAACCGTTCGTGATGCCATCGCACCTGGGTTGTGCGCTCCTCAGTGCAGTTCAAGCGGCAGCAAAGAGCGCGCTAACTAGCAACAGCAGGAAGAACGAGAGTTGTGTGTGAAGACAGCATCTATGGAGAAAGCCTCCCAACGATGGAGTGTTACTTAGCAACGCTATAGCAGCTGATCACTGGAACTGGAAAAGGAGCACCGAGGGAAACGTGTAGGTCACATTTGCACATGTAGGCAAGCCAGCTTCATATACCAAGTGACTGCAGGCCCGGGGGAAGCCCAGCTGTTCTCAGTCTCTGCAAAGCCTGACTCCAGTGCATCATTCTGTACACCAGACAGGGACTGCTGGAGGAAGGAAGAAATAAGGCCCCACAATGGGCCTCAAATCTCTTTCCAAAGATTTGGGGCAGATTAGTCAATTATGTTGCTTGTCAACAGAAAGCGCAATAAACAAATGCGGTGCAAGTAACTTAGGGGAGTTTACTTGCTGCTGAGAGCCTGGTTGCGGGCGCGTGGAAAGTCATTTGGAAACGAAGGGCTGGTTAAAGAAGAATGTACACAAGTCTATGCCCCTCACGCTGACACCCAACCCTCACACGTACCTCAGCCCCCTCTAAACTCGGA